CTGATACTGGCATTGGTATGATAAAATGGAATAGTACTTTATATGTTCATAGATAGGCAGACAAACATGCCTGCTTTCTGTGTCACACACACACTCACACACCTAAGTCACCAGCGAGTGTCTTTATCCCTCCAGACAAAGAGGCGGGGGGTTGGGGTTACCTATCTCTTCCTGAGCGCTCCGTTTCTTTCATTGCTTCTCCTCCTAATCAAGGATGTAATTAGTGCTCGCCAGACAAGCGGTTTCTGCTTGAGCAGAAACAATGGCTAACAGTGATGTGAATGGATGCTGGGTGAATGCACCGCTCATCATGCATGCATGGGCAGAGAATAGGGGTCAGAGTGACAACAAATTGGAATATCAAGGAAAATACAGTACATGAATGAATAGTCGTGTGTATGGGTTATACAGTATGTTAGGCCTTGTCTAACACTTTATTGTTCACTGGAACAGTGTCGTCTAATTACTGTACGTAGGACCACTGCTGGAGTGGAGCCTCTCTCCCATGAGGTGAAGTGTACTTGTTTGGAGTTTCACTGTTTTATTATTTAAGCCCTTTCTGTATAATATGCGGTGTATATGGAGATGATTGTGCAGGGGGAAAATCTACTTTCCGTACTGGAGGCTAGTCTCCAGACCACCTTTTAATATTAAGGACTGTTTTAATGTGGAGTTGTTTTTGCCCTGACTTCTTTTTGATGGTGATTTGACTTGTTTCAGCAAAACAGAGAAATAAAATGTATCCAGCCAATGTTAGATTAAACAGTTTGGCTGCATGAAGCAATCTGAATTTTGGACTGGAATACTACAGGACTGGAATGCACATGTAACCTGACTGCGCCAGTTCAATTAGTACACCTCCAATAAGTTAATCAAATTAATTTCTATCTTAACTTCATTCCAAATTCAGAAATGGCATAAAGAATCTGGTCAATTTTCAAAATAAAACACCCCATGAAGACCCCGGATTGAATGTAACCCCACATCAACATTGTGGAACTAGGTCAGAAATCAGTCAGTCAGAGGCAGATCAGAAGAGATTTGACACCATAGATAACAAGAGGTTCCTATTGGAAGTGGAAAAGCACACTGTTTTGTATCCATTTTAAGGACAAAATAGACAAGCCAACAACGTCGGGCAGGCAACACGCTCTGAAGACACTTTGCTCCACTGTCAACCCTAACAGCATAATTTAATCTTCCAAACAATGTGGAGTCACTTGTTCCCATTAATTAAATTTAACTCAAAAATGAACTGTTGAAGTAATAATACTTCCACAAATGAACCGTTGAAATTCTGCAGTACTTTATGTATTGGTGATCCAGTTTGTTCCATTGACTCATTTTCTTTAAATTGACTTTATATCATTACAAAAATGTAAGCCCCAAAATGAATTGGTTACCATAAAAAATCATACATGTCATACATACATCAGCTGTTCTGACAGGTAATGTAATAATTTGCTACAGTGGAGGAAAACTGAGTAAATTCAGTTTAAGTGGTTACATTTGTCCAAAGATGATACATTTAAGTTACTTTATTCAGATATATAATTGAAATATGTATATTTCAATTAAGTTTAAAGAAATGCTGCATATGAATGTAATACACTACTTAGTTTAAGTACAATTCAGTTAATTTACCTTACCATAACAATAAAAGTGTTGCTTGTACTCAAATCAAAAAAAATTTCATGCTCAAATTGTTGGAGTTAATACATTTAAAAAGTTTAAGGCATTCGGTTTCCTCAAACAGTTTGAGTTGAACTAACTCTTTAGGTTTTACAGTGTACTGAAACTCTTATGGTATTTGAAGATGTGCAGATCATGGAGCCAAACTGCATCGCAGTGTGACCTCATAAAGCCATGCCCGGTGGAATTTGGTCAGCTGAACAGGAAAAGATGTGAAATTTGTCTTCAGGCAAATATGTATCAATCTGTGTATATGAATAGGGTTTTTAAAAGTAAATGAATACATTTATTAGCTTTCCCCCATAATAACAAACTAATTCCTTTTTTTCCAGACTTTTGTTATCATTTAGAAAATACAGACTTAATAATATAAAGTTTTGGTAAAATTAATTGGAAGCATATTAACTGTCTCTATTTTCCCCATAATTAGTATGAACAGTCTCGATAATTATTTTACTTTCCAGAAAACTTGAAAATGATGGACTAAAAGGTTTAGTAGAAAAACTAATCGGAAGGTTGTTAGTTCGATCCCTGGCTCCTCGTGCCACATGTCGAAGTATCCTTGAGCAAGATACTGAACCCCAAATTGATGCCGTGCATCGGTGTGTGAATGTGTATGAATGCATTAGTTTCGTAATGTGTGCGTAGTGTAAAAGCGCTTTGAGTGGTCGGAAGACTAGAAAGGCGCACAGGTCCATTTACAGGTCCATTCAGTTAGAAATTGTTTGCATTCTATCATTCTCATATAATGATACCACTATAGGTGTCACAAAAGTTGGAAATGGTCACACGTTTAAAACGTTTTAAAATATTTATTTAATGATTTATTTATTTTTTCATTCAAACGTATTTTCTTTAACCTTTATTACTCACTAAAAATGTGACAAATAACTTGGCTGACTTACTGGATTAGTGTGCACTTTATTCAGTCCATGTATTTGAGGACACAAAGCATGCTGCACCTCCAAACAGAGAAACCTTCAAAATAAGAGCACACAACTATGTGTAAACGGCAAAAATAGCCATTAAATTTGCTGTTATTATGATAAGCTGTCTAGTATAAATTGGTGATCCAGAACATTCACTAAAAGATAGGATTGTATAGACTGTAAGGGGAGATATAAAACACCTAGTATCTTTATGAGTTTAGGTTTTTATAGTTATAAGTAGAGTTTTAGTTTTTGCACTAGTTTTTAATATTCACTCCCTGAGATGAATCAAAGCTTTTGTTCCTTTTATTCTTCATTTCCCCCGAGTTCAGCCATTCCTCCCTGTATAAAGACCTCCCATCCTTCCTCAGTGAAGGCAGTATCAAGTGAAATTAAGCGACATTGTAAGTCATCAAGGCCATGTCTTGTAATATTGATCTGGTATACAGCGTGAAATAGGGTGATCATTGGAAAAGTAATTATAAAGGGCCTCAGCTCTGGTCCTCCTCCTCACTGTTTATCGGCGTGCTCATTAAAAGACATTGGCAGGCAGACGGGGCTATCTCTCCATTTGCCAGTCGACCACACCGTAAAAGTCGGCGGGTCATGGCTCCCGGTAGTCCGATAAGCGGCATGCGCCAAATTGGAAGAGGACTGATTACGTCCCTGAGGAGATGTGTGATGAAGCTCTCAGCTCCGTCCGAGCTGTCTTCTTCTATTTCATCTAGCACTCCATCTCTTTTAGCCTTCCTCTATCACTGCTCTGTTAACTGTGCCTTCACTCTGTCTGCCACTCTCTTTGGATAACACTCTTCCTACACTGACTTGTTCTGTAATCGAAGCTGCTGTAGGTCATTTTTATATTTTAAATTATAGTTACATGGTCAAAGATTACTTTTTTACGTTAAAATATAGCAATTTTAAAAATATGATTTTTTTCCCCATGATGCTCACCAATGCTCTATTAACTCATGAAAGGCGTGATCTGACATATTGGGGTTTCATAGAGGAGTGCTCCACTTTGCGGCCGACCTTGCGGACATGTTTGAAAAGAAAAAGGAATATTTGTGGAACTACATTTCAAAGCAATCTCAGCCTACTGAGATTACTGGTTTTACTTTTTTGTCTAACTACAAATGATGATTGGGAACATCAGTGTTAATCTTCACTGTGTTACATCAGCAACATGTCTGACAATTTTATTTTTGTTTCATTCCCAAAAAAACAAACCCTCAGAGGTTTGCAGGACTGTGGTCGCACTGCAGTCCTGGAAGAAGGAAACCAATAGATTGTCTGTGGTAACAAACAGAGCGGATGCAGACTTAACCAGCTGACAGAGACTCCTCCCCAGCAACTCTGCCGTCAAACCCAGCAGCTCCTTAACAATGTACCTACAACTCCTACAGCAGGTACAGTGCTGAGTGGGGTCTCCCACTCCTTAGCTGGCCAACAAAAACCCCACGCATAACGCCTCAGGGCACTTCAGGAGAAAGCATCAATTAAACAAGCACGAATTCTCATTGGTTTTGTGGCAAAGCTTTAATGCAGAAGTGTTTACCTTCATAGTAAAATATGGCCCCTGGGCATGAAGCTACGTGCAGTTATGTTAGGTGAGGAGGTGGAGAAGGTTTGTACAGGATGACGCCATCTTTACAAATCCCAAAGAATGTACAACATGACAGAATATGAATAAATTAATAGGAACACATGTACTGTGTTGATAACAATACTATGATTTGGTTGTATTTGTTTGTTTGTTAAAGAAAACTTACTCCAACTTAACTTTCCCCCTAATTAACAAAAAACGACGAGCCCTGTCCTTTGCAGAGGGCCAATTAGCCCACCAAATTCAACTGTCATCCACTGAGTTCACTGTATTCTTGGGAGAATTGGCCTCCCACAGAGCGTTATGCTGCTGTTTTTTCCTTCCTAAGTGCTTCATTTCAGCTAATGAGCAAAGTGCCAGACAATAATCTGGTACATTCGTTTTCCTCTGATAATATTTATGGATGTCCTCCCCGTAGTTTGTGAGCAGAATGTAAGTACAGACTGGGATCTATCTATCTATCTATCT